AGCTGTTTCTTTTCATTTTGAGTTGTGCTCTATCAGCAAATGAAGATCCTGAAGGCAGCTCTTCTTCAGTTGCATTTTGAGTCTGAGAATGTTCTACTACTCTTCGTGAAGTTTTCAGTACTTGATAATGTTCTGCTGCTATTGTAAGGTGTCTAATTCCTTGCAATGGACAGCTTATTCGTTCTTCTTAGTCTATTGTTAGTCTGAAAGTCCTGCTGAAACATGTTCACTTTGGGTGACCCTGCTGGTATTTGAAATAACAGTGACATAGCTTCCAGCACCACAGCAACACACCAGCCACCACAGTGTGACAAACAAGTGGTGGAAGGGAACGATAGGTTACAATAATAGTTGGAGTCTTCAATATCCCACAGCTTGCTCTTTTGAATGAACTGTCATTTCTAAAAAAAATGTTTTGTGTGTGTGTGGCATGCCCTGTGATTCCTTGCTGTTGTTTAAACAAGGACCCTAGAATACTACAATGGGTAAGCTTTCAAAATGCCCACATATATATGGCACTTTCAAAAATACTATGGGACGGTTGGAATCTTAGACCTGTTCATGCTGCCATAATACTGGATATATTTTTCTCTTTATTTAAAAAAATTGTTATCACCTACATGCAAGAAAGCACACAAACTGATTATAGCTTAGTGGATGTGCATATATGCAAACCCCTGTGAAACCATCACCTGGATTGAGATAGAAAATCTCAGAGACTTCTTAAAACCTGCCTCCTTGCCGAAAGAGACAATTATTCTTTACTTCACCTCAGTTTTTGCCTCCTTTGGGGGTCGTTTAAATCAGTGTTTCCCAAAGTGGGAGACACCATCCACTGGGAGTTCTGGAAAGATTCAGGGGGGAGGGGTGGGGCTGCAAAGACAGATAACTACACTTTTTTTCCTGGATTATAGGACATAGTACACAATTCTTTAATTGCCAGGGGGCACTGAAATAATTTTATTTTCTGAAAAAGGGACAGTAATTCAAATAAGTTTAGGAACCCAGATTTAAATGAACCCTCACAATAATTAGAGTGTCTAGCTTGGCTGTCTACAAGAGGTTATATCTGTTGAAATTCATCCAGATTATTGCAGAAGGTCACTTACACTGGTAGGCTTTTGTTGCTATTTAGTAGTCCCTTAAAAATGTTTTTTAATTAGTATTTTAGGATCATACAGCAGTTTGATTTCTTTTTCTTAGAAGTTATTTTGAACAGTGGTTTTAGACGGAAGGAAAACACAAAATTAAAAGGCATCTAAATCTGAATATCTACCTCCTTCCTTTTAGCTGTTCCCAAGAAACTTCTTATGTGCTTTAAAACCAAAGAGAGTTTCCTGTAGGAGCCAAGAGGGAAAGAGTGCTTTTACAGAGTGCAGGTTTTATTTTTCTGCTTGGACGCTACCTTGACCCTGTGACATGGTACCTGAGAGGCAGGTATGAATCCTCCTCTGACCAAGCTTCATCTCAGGTGGTATATTCATCAGTCCACCAGCCTGTAAGGGAGGAGGGCTGAGCCAGGCGTCCTGGGCCCAGCCTCTCTTTCCACTACATCTGCTGGAGCTCTTCTGCCTACCCCAGGCCCTCCCTGAGTGAGTGAATTCTACTAAGTACCCACTGTGCTTGCTTTTTCTGTATTTTATTTAGACAAGAGATTGGAATGTGGGAGGTGGAAGAAGAACTAGTTTGAATCTGTCTTCTCCCAGATTTAGAGCCAGCCTTGGCGCTGGACAATCACTGAAGGTCAAGGTCAAGCGGGGAGTGGAGGAGGAGGCCTGCTGGAAAGGATGAGATCAGCTGGGGCTCTCACCAGGAGAAGGGAGATGAGAAATGGAGCGTGGCAGTCATCTTTGGCAAACACTATGGAGCCCCTTGCCTCCCTATTTCCTGTCTACAGCACTCCTTTCTCCCCCCAAAATGAAACACTGGTGGTTTCTGGGGGGTGGGGGAGGGATAGCAAGGCTTTGCCTCATGTACTTTGGACATATTATCAGGAGGGGCCTATCATTGGAGAAGGACAGCATGCTTGGTACAGTAGAGGATCAGAAAAAATGAGGAAGATCTTCAACGAGACAGATTGGCCTAATGTCTGCAACAAAAGGCTCAAATATAACAACAATTTCAGTGTGGCACAGGGCTGGGTAGTATTGTATTCTGTTGTACAAAGAGCAGTTGAGTCAGAACCAACTTGATGGCACCTAACAGCAGCAGCAGCAGCAGCTTACTCACTTCAGTGGATGAATGTGGTTGTCCTAGGCGGTGCAAACAGTTTGCACTCGGCTGTTAATCTGAAAGTTGGACATTTGAACCTATCCAGCAGTACTTTATAAGAAAAAGCCTGGTGATTGACTTCTGTTAAGATGACAGCAAAAAAGAAAAAGGAAAGAAGAAAAAGAAACAAACTATGGAGAAGTTCTATTCTGTAACACATGGGTACATACTAAGTCCAAATCAACTCTTTGGTAAATAGCAGGTTTTGGCTGCTAAGAATTAAGCTCCTTCCTAGGAGCTTAATATATCCTTAAATATATCCTCCAAGGGACTCCTTGAACCTTTTACAATAATCGTGACTCTATTTATAAAGGGGATCATCTTGAAATGAATTCATCAGTGACATTAAAAACTTGAATTATCTATCTGGTTGGCTTGAAGCTGAGGTCTTTGATGCCCTGGAGCTAATATGCTGGGAACAGTTGTAAATCAGAAAATATTCCTGGCATTTACGAGATGGTGCTTAAATGAAATATCTGGGCTGTTATGTCAGGAGCATGCCTTGGGCTAGAGGCTAAACATCCCAGCCCTCCTTGCAAGAATGGAAAAAATCCCTTCTCTTAGGCTTTGTGTTTCCTCCTTCTGTAGAGAAGAGGTTTTGTCACTTGGTCCGTGGAGTGATTGAAGCGGGATGATTTCTCAGGCTCCAGAGGGCCGGCTCTGGAACCAACGGCACCCTCCCTCTCCTCATATCTACACAAACATCCATACACAAAGGACGCTCTGTGGGAGCTGGCCCTTCAGATGGGCCTAAGCTACAGCTAAATGAGTGGGGAGAGTCAACTGCAGCACGCACCTCCAAGTCCAGCAACTGCTTTGTCCTTCAGGTGGAGGGTTGAGGGGGGCTGTCCAGAAAGTGTGAAACTAAATGAGTCACCTATGACAGACACTGCTAGGCCCAGTATTTCCTCACGAGACCCCTTTGCAGCGGTTTTTCAACCTACCCAACAAATTTTGTCCCGTTTAACTCATTAGTCTAGCTCAGATCCAAGCATCTTTCTTGACGTGGGATCAATTTAATATTTTAAGTGAAAAAAAAATTGGATAATACATTCAAGTGGATTCTAAAAGGACATAAAGTAAAAAAAAATAACCCCTATATTTCTCTCGGAGGCTTCATTCTCCTCTAAGGCAATTCATTTTTGTATATCCTTCCTGAGGTAATCTATCTAATTGCACATATGCGAATGAAATCTGTCTTTTTTAAAATCAAGCATCTCTTAGTGATTCTAATGCTGGGGTCCCCAGACATATTTGGAAAACAACATTTACCTATGTCAGGCTCTGTGCCGGGCTCTCGGGCTAGCTGTGTGACCTGGCATTACCCAGACCTACTTCAGATGCTCAGTTATAAGGTGCCAAGGGGTCCTAGGGTCCTGAAACTGGAGCTACTGAGGACAGTGCAGGGCTGTGCTGCGAAGACAGAGTAGGAGGAGAGCTGTAGGTCCTTTCATCTTTGTCATCAGCCATGGCACCTGGCAGACACTGGATACCCCAGCTTGTAGACAAAGACCTAGTAACCCAAGGAGCCGCTTGGCGTCTGTGCCTGGGCCCATCTCAAAGGAGCGGTAGGCCTCTGGTTTCTTTAGAGGGGTGTGGGGCTGGGAGGCTTTGGAAGTGTCTTTGTCTCCCTGGTGCCAGGCATACCATCACGTGGCTGTCGAGCAAGTGAGTCAGATGCCTTAGTCTCCTAGGGTGGCGGCGGTAACTGCTCTCCAGGCTGAATAAGGTGGGGCAGGGCAGGTACATAGTCTGCCTGGGATAGGTTGAAGGGTGCCTGTCAGATATCTTTAGAGTTGACTTCAGCCTACAGGCCCCACCACGTTTTGGGGGCACCGTGGACAAGGAAGCTCTGGGCCCTGGGTACAGCCTGGCGCACTGCTGACTCCCCAGTGGTGTACGTCACACACACAGGGAGTCAATCTATGTTTGCCAGAGAGCTGAATCCTCATTGCAGACAAAGAGGTCTCCTCTGCAGACTGGGCGTTGCCCGGTAAACACAGGCTCTTTTGGACCCACAAGTCCAAACTATAAAGATGAACAGTCCTAAACCACAGAGTAAGATTCAACTCCCAGCCCTGCTTCACTCAGACGTCTCGAGCCTGTTCCCTCGCACACCGCAAGAGGAAGAGGCTAACACTGTTTCATCTCATGGAATTCTGTGGGGAGTGGGAGGATTCTCGTTAGGCAGTTAACCCAAGGCCGGTTCCGGCAGAGGAGAGACGAGTCCTGAGCGGAACCTCAGGGCAGTGACGGCAGAACCCGTGAGTTGGGTCGCCTTTCCTTTTCTGAGCCCCGATTTCCCCGCAGGGAAGCAGCACCGGAGCCCTTCCCAAACGACACGCCTCCCCTCCCCCGCCTACACACGCACGCTAGTCGAGGTGTTTGTTTCTAGGCTTTTCACGACTGGGGGCTTTAATTAGGCTTAAGACAGCCTCTGCCTGAAGGACCCTTCCAGATTGTGGAGGTCCCTTACTTGCTCTCCGGTTCTTGTTTGAGGAAAATAATTGGAATTTTCGAGGTAGGGTAGGAATCCAGTCCTGCCAGCTGCCCCTCGCCCCGCCCCGTCGCTTCGCCTCCCTGGTTAGCCTCGCCGGCGCACTGGATTCGTCCTACGTCGCCTGCCTTTTGTCAGGCGATCTCAGCGGCCAGCCCCCCCGGCTCTGTGACGTCACAGGCCCCGAGGTCCTCGGCGTCTTCGCCCGCCGCTATAAAGGCCGACGCCGCGCCGTGCCGCGGTAGTGGCCTTGTTCGCTGCCTTTCTCTGCGGTTGCCGCTGACGCCTCCCAGTTGCCTCCAGCCTTGGGTCCGCCGCCTCCCGAAGAGAGATCACCGTGAGTAGCCCGCGGAGCCGGAAGGGCCGATGGCGCTGTAGATTGCGGACCGGCCGGCGGCACCGCTGCGGCTTCGGCCTGTCCGAGGCGGGAGGCGGCCTGGGCCTTGGTTTCGCTCA